CAAAATAAGTATAAATAAGTATTTATATTTGTGTAGCTTTTGTTTGTAGGGTTATTAACAAAATTTACTCAGACCAGTAATATTTGGGGTCACACATTTTTGCCATGGATATTTTGTGGGTCAGAAGATAAAAAGTTTAGGAACCACTGCTCTAATTGATGTCATGGTCGATAAGGTTCTACCTTTTGATGGAGTCAGTGAAACCTGGCATCAGAAATGACCAGACTATCCCTTTAATTGTTGCTTTGAGAATTATCTTGTGCTGATCTAGAACTGAGAACATTTAAGCCATTTATCTATACCTCTTAAAAAGACGGCAGTACAACAAGAAATATAAAAAAGAACAATGTTTTATCTAATAATCAAAGCTGCTTTACTTTTTCTGGTATCTGTGCCTTTTTTTCCCACCTAAATGAAATCTGGAAATCCAGCTGACACAGACAATATGTGCACATTACTCGATGGGGTCACTACAAGGCCTGTACAAAAACAAATCCTAACTTCACAGTCTATCACCATTATCAGCCCTGAACTGTGCTTCTTGCACACAGACCTTCTTCCACATGAACGACTGCAGGGTGCTGAGAGGACAAAGTGAAGCACGCAGAGAAAAAACAGCTCGGGGGTGGGGGGATTGGTCGCAGATTTATTTGAACAGTCTGGTTGTAATGAAAACAGGCAAAACTTGCCACGGGTTGAAAGATTGACGACTGGAGAAAGGGATGGGGATAAAAGAATGAATAGGTTGAAATCCAGCTGACATATTTCTGTACCTTCTGATAACAGCTCAAATAGACCCTGTGAGCCTCTCAGTTCAGTGTGCGTGAGGATTTACTTTATATGTAACCCCGTTTCGGTCACAGAAGTGCAGTAAATATCAGTGTTAACATATCAGTGCATTAGGTTCTGAAAAAGATAAAGATTTTTTATTATCGATGCTAGCATACAAATTGTTCATCTTTTAAACTTTAAAATGACTTTTTGCATTTTTTTTATTTTTAATATGAATAGACATATACTGGAAACATGCACATTTTTTAAAATGTTTTTGTTCTGAACACAAGTGCAAAAGACAAACTGTAGAAATGAAAAATAAATAAATAAAAATCAGAATAAAAGTTTAGGTACCATTAGGGCATTTAAACTAATGTTATGTCTTCAATCTTACTGTGCCATGTTTGGAAACATAAAAGCTAACAAATGATGTTAAACAATTCTTAACTTTCGTTAAAACCCCCTTTTTATTGTAATGAATGACTAAAGTAGAAGCAGCTCAGGTTAACTTAGATCTCTTTAAAATGCCTTCCCACTCTGTCCGGGTCAGGAGCTCTTGTCCTGCATTCTCAGGAGAAACAAAAACCAATGACTAAATCTGCAAATGGCTGTTTAACTTTTTTGAAATGCAGAACAAGGTTTGATTGAATTAGCTTTAATTGCCAWTCTTCTGTCTGTGAAAACCAGTGGAGTCCTCTTACCCAGAACTC